GGGAGGCCCGCTCAAGCGAAGCCAGAATTGCTGGGCTTTTCCAGCCCTAGATTTGGAGTCGCAAAGCTGCGATTTCACCAACAGTGCAAAGCCTCTTGAACCGTCATTTGTGGGGTTTCGAGACAGAAACTGAAGCCTTCCAAAGCCTTCCTTGTGGGTTCGGCTTACAATCTTACCGTAGTCTCTGCACTCTTCTGGTCTGTAGTTCCTGCAGCTTGCAGCTGTCCCTGTTATCTTGTGCTTCACGTTGGTAGCGTTAAAAACCTACAAGGCGAACAGCCCTTCAGGTTTAAGGCAAACAAGTTCCAAGCACCCTTGCAAGCAAAGCAAGCTCACAAAACACTCGGACAGTTCACACTTTCAGCACGCACAGCTCACTGCTGGTCTCACGTGTCTTGAGCCAAACGACAGTAGTCGTGGCACCTCTTAAAAGCTCCCAAGCACTACAAAACAAGAGAAAACAGGTTGAGGCTACCGCAAAACCGTCACGCAAGCTCAAACTACGTTCTACAGGCACTGACCACCTGAAACTAGCAAAACTGTACAACTATACAGGTACCGAGGAAAAACTCTGTGTCGCACCTAAAACACTACTGGGCAGAGCACTGGTTTTCTACACCCCCCACGACGCAGTAGCTGTCGGAGGTACCAGGTGGAGTTCCCTTAAACAGTACTCGCACGCCACTTTAGTAGCGATGCGATTCGGAATCGCGTTCCTGAGGCCGTGGCAGTCCCTACGCACGTGGAAACAGTCTCCGTAAGCAGAAGTAAAGACAGCCATCTTCTGGCCCGACCTTGGCAGAAACGAAAGAAGGTCCTGCACAGTCTGGACGCGGGAGCTCTCGGTACGCAGCTTCTGCAAGCACACTCCAAGCGCAACACCCACAAGCAGTGGGACAAGCACAACAGTGAGAAGCCCTACACTCGGAACTTCGAGAAGCTTCTCTTGCACTTCCACAACCAGGCCAAACACCATGGCACGCTCGGCAGCGAAAGGAGCCAGAGACATCTTAAACGTCCTGGCAAAGAAAGAAAACACCGGAAAGTTTGAGCAAACGGGCTGCGCAGCAAACATGTAGCAACATGTCCTCGACAACGACAAGACTCTCGTAAAAGTCAAGAGCGCAACGCTTCGAAGAAGGACTTTACAAGCTCTACCGGGTAGTGCTGTGTATTCTTGAGGTCGAAGTCCTTCGAGTGCTCATGCTTCCCAGAGCAACGATAGACACGAATGCTCTCAGCGACTGCTGGGTGTGTGGTAACAACACGCCATCGCTTGGCGATCAGAAGATGATCGCGGCCCCGCATAGCAAGCGCACAACCATCAACTGGAACGTCGTGCAAAACGTAGGGGCGTGAGGAAAGAAAATGCTCAGTCTGGCGCCAAGACCAGTAAGCACAAGCACGCGGCCACTCAATGGCCCAAGCATGCACAAAGCTAGTAAGCTCGACCAAGCTTATCCAGAGCTTCCGGTGAAGCCTCCAGTGCTGAGCCAACCGCCCTCGGCGATAAGCTGGATCACGGGCACGCAGCCTCTGATACGGGCAGCCTCCTGTGCACGGGGTACTAGCCCATAAGAAGACAAAACCCTTCTTCTTGATCTGCTCAGCAAAGATGGCTTTGAGCTCAAGCAAGGTCTGTGCACTGGCACCATCATCACGCTCACTCACAGTAAGCACATTCACCCAGTTTAAGTCCTGGCTAGCCGCTCTCATCGATGATTCAACGGGGGCACAGAACTCAATCACCAACCAAGAGGCATGTGGCATGGCGGCAAAACGGTCACGCAAGCTAACATGGTTCTTACCAACAAGCATTGCACCGCACAACGCAACAAAGCCATCAAGCACACAAGCAATAACGGCAACGTCACGCAAGCCAAGTCCCCACATGTGCTTCAAGGTAACAGTCCAACTCAGAGGTTTGGTGAACAAATCTGCAACATTGGCTTCACCGCGCACGCCAAAGATAAAAATCTGCTTTTGCCTGAGCTGGTCTTGGATAAAGCACGCCCTAAGGTCAATGTGCCTCACCTTCCTCAGCCCATCAGCCTTGCTGATAGCAACTGCAGCCTCGCTGTCACAGAAAAGATGGGGCTTGGGCAGATCTGCCCATCCAAAGACATGCGAGATGGCGCGGCGGATAGAGAGAGCCTCTTTCGCGCCCTCCACAAGCCCATAGAGCTCGCTCTCGGCAGAACTCAAGGCAACAGCCTGTTGCAGACGACTCCAGGCCTTCAAACAGAAGCCTCCCAACATCACGCACCCTCCGCTGATGCTCTTCCTGTCAACGTTCTTCTCGCTACCCCAGGAAGCGTCCACATAGCAATCAAGGCGCAGGTTCTCTTCAGCAACCGGGTTCACTACCTGCTTAAAACCCTGAATATACTTCAAGTAACGCAACATAGCTCTCATAGCTCTCTCGTGCTTTTCGAGTGGATTCGCCTGGCCTCGGGCCAGCATGCTCACGTAGTAGACCACATCCACCCTTGTCATCGCAAGCCATGACAGCCTTCCCAGGGAACTGCGAAACCTCGCAGCAGCTTCAGAAGACAGGGATTTCTCCAAGCAAGGATCTTCTTTGTCGTACAACTCCTTTAGGTTGGGCGGCGTGCCACACGCGGTCACCTTGGAGTTCCCGAAGAAACCCTTGTAGATTTCCTCGTAGTAGGAATCGGACATGGTGACACACAGGGAGTCACTAGAATGCTCTCGGGCAATCTGTCTTCCAAGGAAGGTGATCTGACCGTCGCGGTCCAGATCGGCTGTGACCTTCACCTTCACAGCGGTCTTCAGCTGCTCCACCACATGGTAGATAGCTTCATCGCTGTCTCCTGTGATGAGAAGATCATCAACGTAGCAAAGAACAACCACACGCTGGCCTCCAAGCACAGAGCCTGAAAGCAAACAAGCCTCAGTCTCACAGGGCTCCAGGTCACAGAGCTTCTTCAGCAGCTTTGCCAGGTGACGCGACCAGGTCTGAGCTGCGACTCTTAGACCATATAGGGCCTTCTTAAGGCGCAAGTAGCCACGGCGGCCGTCCTTGCCCTTCACTCCGTCTGGCAGCCTGACCACAATGTGGCCATCTTCCTCGTCGAGGTCCGCGAAGAGAAACGCGGTGCTCACATCCAACCCGACGATGTTCCTTCTCTTGGAACCCGCGTAGAAAAGAAAAGTTCGCAGCGCTTCTGCAGAGCTTGTGGCAGCAGAGATGCCAAGCTGTGCCGCGGTCGCTCCCTGCGCAAAGTCACGAGCAACTACCCGACACCTGACAAGCGGATTCTCCTTCCCCTCAACACGCTCTACTTTGGCATTGGAGACCCACCTTGTAGAGATCACTTTCTGCTTCGGATCAACATGCCACACAACATCACCGACAGCAAGCGATTCAAGAGCACGAAGTTCACGCAACATGCCTTCATAGGTCAAGCCAATATCAAGCAGGTGCCCCGTCACATCATCCTTTGCAGAAGCTGGCACTTCGACAAGCAGCTTCTCCCCCCCAAGCTCGACAACCTGAGGAGTAACAACCTTGGTGGCGGCTCCCGCAAAACAAACCGACGCACCAGCAAAGGAGATGGACTCTCGGTACATCATACTGGACACCATGGCCTCCCGCTCTTCTTCAGGGAGTGCCTCAAGAGGTTCAGGATCAACTTGCATGAAATCAAGCTCGCCTGGGCTCGGGGCCTCGATCTGCTCGAGTTCTTCTCCAAGCTCTATTTCATTCTCAACTCCAGGCAGACTGGGCTCATACTCAGCCAAATCCTCATCCAATGGAAAATTCGGGAACGGATCAAGATCATCCGGCACCTCAAGCCCAAGATCAACACCAAATCCAGCACCCAAATCATCACGCCCGGTCACTTCTTCTTCAATTGGGGCCTGATCGAGGATTGCCCGGCTGGGATCGAAAGAGTTTCTCACAAACTCAGCGTATCGATCACGGCACTTCTGGGTGTGCCAGGCCTTATCTGCTGGAAAACCGCGCAGCCGGCAAGCTCGGCACCTTGGGGTTCTCCCGTTTTCTTCAATCCATTCTGGTGGTGGTCCTCGGGTTGCGGTGTTCGGCAACGGGAGGTCGCGCACATTGTCACCACTGCTCTCGGGGAGCTTCTTCTGGGAATCATCCCTTCTTCCGGGCAACATGCGACAAACACCTTTCAAGCTCGACACCTCAAAAGTGAGAGGAACCAACATCCGGATTCTTGCGCTTCTCGCAATCTTCAAAGTGCCATCCCGCAGCCTAAACTGCACAATGTGGCTTCCACTTCCGACCTCTGGTCCAAGGTAGGCGGCGTGGCCGTAACGGCCGGTGATTTTATCACGCAAAGAGGGAGGAGGAGTGGCAAGCACAGCAGCACCCCAAACATAGGCGGCATGCGGTCCACGGGTGGTCTTCAAGCACCGCTGTTCTGGGGACAGCGCTGATCCAGGATGCACCTGGTACCGGTTGTAGACCTGGGCAACGTGCATCAAAAGATACGTAACACCCTTCCCGCAGGGCTCCAAGCCGACCTGTTCCAACCCAGCACACAGTGTGTTTGCACCTTCCTTGATGGTCCTCACAGCACGCTCTGCAACAACAGCATGCCGACCAACAGGGGCATCCACAACCTCGATGGCACCAGCGGTCAAACCATCAGCAAAACTTTGCGCAAGGTTCTTCACAACACCCTCAATGTCCGACTTCACACTCACCGTCAACTCACTGGGAGCAACACCAACCAAGCCAACGCTACGACTCCATGCCGACATGTCACTCAACATGGCTTCCTTGGCTGCTGGGCCTCGGGATCCGCTCACCTCACGGTACGGAACTACACCGAGGGCAAAAGCACCAACCAAAACCAACACCAGGAAAGCGAGGCCCTTGTAGAAAAACTTATCTATCTGCACCTCTCTCATCCCTGAGTCCTGGGGCCGATCCTGGCTTCTGGCGGGTTCAAGCCCACGACCTTGCACGCACTGCGGGCAAGACGCATTGTACGGCACATGCGATCTAAGAACATGTTCTCGCTCTAGCTTACCCCAACTCTCCTGCAACAACAGTTCCCGATCCCCTCTAAGCAACCATGCTTCACTCTGGCTATCATGGGCCTCGCTCCGGTCACGCTGTGGTCGGTCCTGGCCAACATGCTCAAGCAACTCACCATGCTGCAAATCATGCTCACCCAAACCACCAACACATGCATGCTCACCAAGCTCAACGGCAACATCATGCTCACATGCAAACGCAACCTTTTCTTGCATCAGAAGCGAGAGTCCCAAGGAAGAAGGACCATCGGATATTCCTGGATGGTGGGCGTCCTCGGAAGATTGGCGGGCGTCCTTGGAGGATCCTTGTGCACCGCCATGGCTCACTCTATCTCGATGCTCTCGAGCTCCACCACCTCGCCCCGCGAGTTGTAGATCTTGCCGTCGTCCCCGATGTGCAGCTCCTCGGCTCTCCTCTCTGCTGGGGGCTCCTCGGCTCTCGTCTCGGCTGGGGTTTCCCTGGCCCTTGCATCCACCGGCACACTGGACACTGGTGACCATGGCGGCAGACTGGACACAGGTGACCACTCTGAGGGCGCAGAGGCCCCTCGTCCGGCTGACCTCGGGTCTCTCGGTGGCGTGGGAAGCCTCCTCCGCGGCGGTACCGGTGGTGGGGGATTGATCTCCAAGCCTCCTTCCACCTTCACCTGTGGCACCTTTGCTGCACGCGCGGCCTCCACCTTGGCTCGCGCAGGTGGTGTTCTCGGTTGCGGTACCATTGGCGATCCTGGTGGTCCTGGGGGTTCCTTGATGACTTCGGAAATCGTCACCTCCACGAAAGGAATCTCCAGGCCCTTGATTTGCGCATAGTGGTCCTTGACATGTTTTTCCAATGTCCTCCGCACCGGAGGGCCCTTCTGCTCCTCGGCCTTCTTCTTCATGGCGTTGTTGATGGCCTTCATGAGGTAGCCCTGCTTCTTCTTTTCCTTGGCTCGCTGCGAAAGCATTCTCGGCGCAGTCTCCGTCTGCCCGGGAATCCCGCGCTGGGCCCGGCTCTTCAAGACGATCTTTCGGACCTTGGCTGGCATTGCTTTCACCACGGGCGGCTTGGGCTGCCTCTTCACCAGTGGCTGCGGTGGGTCCTTTGACCCCGAAGACGGCTCCGCCTTTGCTCTGGCCACACTGCCCTTGGGCTTCTTGGCCTCTGTGGCTGCCTTCTTCTCTGCCTCCACGGCCTCTGTGGCTGCCTTCTTCTCTGCCTCCGTGGCCTCTGTGGCTGCTTTCTTCTCTGTCTCCGCGGCCTCTGTGGCTGCTTTCTTCTTTGCCTCGGCTTTGGCGGCTCTCTTCTTCTTTGCTTCCTCTGCTTCCTTGGCCCACTGGGCGCTCTCCTGGCGCTCCTTCACGAATTTCTCCGCCGCTGCTTTCGCAGCTGCCTTTGCCTGCTCTGCCGTCTTCTTCTTCACTTCCGCGGCTGGCACCAACAGCAGGTTCTGGCCCGGCGTAAGACCCACCATCGAGGTTGCCGTAAAGAAGATCGTGGATCCCTCGAAATCCTCGTGAGTCCTCGTAACAGTCGCCGCGTGCTGCTCCGCCAGGTGGCGGCGACCCGAAAGGCGCCACTCCTGCTCCGAGTCGGAGGAGGACTCCTCGGGTGCCCGGTTGCTCCTCCTCATCCTTCTTAGAAGGCCTTCCCGACGAAGGAGCACAGCCGTCACTACGCTTCAAGCTCGCTCGGGCGGCAACTGCAACGGAACGGTCAAGCTCAACAGCACTCGAGAAAACCCATCCGCAATTGGAGACCCATCTCGTGCGAAGAACGTACCCAGCGGCCTCAACTTTAAAACTTGGCAGGAAATCCACAACCCAGCTCTTGCCCAGCAAACGCCCTAAGGACAGCAGGTTAAACTTCACAGGAGCAACAAGCACTTGGAGTTCTGTTACCACCGTCTCGCCCGAAACCAAAACGAATGGAACCCTGACAACCGCAGACCTCCGAACTCCAATGCTGTCACCCGTTGCAGAAACACACTCACTGGCAGACTCACTGTGGCTCACAACGTGCACCCGGCTCAAAGTGTCCTCGTTGATGATGTGGGCCGACGCGCCGGAGTCAACGAGCCACCAATCCATGGTGTCATGCTGCTGGCTGGCTGCTGCTGTCTCGTGCGCTACCATGCCATGGTCAGCTCTACCTACCACATGCAACATGTCATGCTCAACGACATTTTGAAAATCTGCAACAAAACGACCTGCTTCCAAGCTCAACTCTGGGGACTCTGCAAGCTCGACTGTGGTTCTGTCTGGGACCTGGTGGGACTCTGCAAGCTCGACTGTGGTTCTGTTTGGGACACCGCGGGACTCTGCAAGCTCAACTGTGGCTCTGTTTGGGTTGTCACAAGGAAAATTATCAAGCGCAACATGCAACATGGAACCCTCAAGCGCAACAGGCTCACCGCCTTCAAGCACAACAGGCTCCGACCAAGCACACTCATAAGATGCAACGAACTCCTCCCAATCCTCCTGGGAAAAATCCGAGCAATCATCCTCATCAAGCTCAACAACCGGACAACTCAGATCAACCGCAGCTGCGAAAATCTGAGGCTCCAAAGAGGCAGCCGCGACCTGCGGCTCAAGCAAAGCAGCTGCTGATGCTCTTTCCCTCTTGGGCTTGGGACACTTATTCGAGTAGTGCCCGAACTGGTCACAGTTGTAACACTTGACGTTCTTCAAGCGCTCTGCTTTCTCCTTCTCCTTCTCCTTGTCGTTTCCAGAACCTTGCTTGCCGTCCTTTGCGGCTGCAGTCTTCCCCTTGTCCTTGCCTTTGTCCTTTCCACCTTTCCCTTTTTCTTCCTTTCCTTTCTCATTCCCTTTCTTGTTGTCCTTTCCTTTGTCCTTTCCTTTTCCTTTTTCTTCCTTTCCTTTGTCACCCTTCTTGCCCTTTCCCTTGTCTCCGAAGGTCAAAGCATTCGCGTGATCCTTTGCTGCTCCCTTTCCTTCCTTCTCTTGGAAATTCAGGATCTTAAGGTTGGCATCATAAAACTTCAAAGCAGTCTCAAGCTGGTCCATGGAGTCAACCCTAGCATGCAAAAGAACATACTTCTTCACTTCAACATCAAGGTTTCTCAAAACAATCATGCAACGGTCTGCCTCACTCAACGCAAGATCTGGGAACCCTGCGGTCAAGCGGGTAAACTTGGCAAGCTCCAACTGGATGTTTCGAAACATGTCAAGTGGACGATTGGCAGGAGTGCTCGCGCGGTACTGCAGGGCCTCATTCCGAAGCGTCGAAGCCTCGATGCGGCTCGCAACAGACAACTCCTGATGCAACCTCCTCATGCACTCGTACCCAGCTGGGGAGCCAAGCTGCTCCTTCTCTACTTGCTTAACCAAGTCAAGCCCACGAGCAAACCCTTGCAACGCTTGCTTCAGGTACAAGAAGGTCCTAGTTGAACGCACGCTCTGTCCCTTTTCAAGCGATGACTGCTTGATGGTGACCTCAGAAGCAATCGATCGATGAAGCTCTTCCGGGATCCTATCATCAAAGAGAGCAATCCACGGCAGGAATTGCTCTAGGAACTCAGCCCATCCTTCGATCTCCGAGCGACGGCCTTTGCTCATCTTTCCACCATCAATCGCAGGCAGCTTAGGAACATAAGCTTCAGCTTTGGGATTCCTGATGGGAGCACCTCCCTCATCAACCTCCATTTTCCCCGACGAATCGGAGATGGAGCTAAGCTCTCCACCGTGGCCCTTGCCTCTCGCAGTAGGTGGCGCAGGCACTTCCCTGCTCACAAGAGCCTGAACTAGAGACGTAAGCTGGGCAACTTGCTGCTGCTGCTGCTGCACCGTCTGGTACAGAAACGTCTCCACGGTGGGCGGTGATGGTGCATTCACTGGCGAAACTCCACCAAACTCTGGCAAACCTGGTGGGGGTGGCAACACACCTCCAAGAGGGTTCGGCGAGCCAGCTGGGCTTCCCACCACCGGGCTTCCGGTTGGATGCATACCCCGTTCCAGAGCCGACAAGTTCGACACCGGACTAAAAACAGCACCCCGAGGCACACTGCTTGCTCTCGGCCTCTGGTAAGGCGGCGCAGCGTCTGACCTACTATTCCTTCGGATCATACCAGGCTCACCTGGCACATCACCGATGTTGAAGTAGCTTGGCCTGCCACGGCCTTCCATTTCTCACAAGCACAACCAAGCAAGCAACACGCCTCAAGTCAACGTATTGGGCTCTTTCTTTTGGTTGCAAGGCAACGAGCGTTCACCACGCTCCGCTACCACGTTAAAAACCTACAAGGCGAACAGCCCTTCAGGTTTAAGGCAAACAAGTTCCAAGCACCCTTGCAAGCAAAGCAAGCTAACAAAACACTCGGACAGTTCACACTTTCAGCACGCACAGCTCACTGCTGGTCTCACGTGTCTTGAGCCAAACGACAGTAGTCGTGGCACCTCTTAAAAGCTCCCAAGCACTACAAAACAAGGGAAAACAGGTTGAGGCCACCGCAAAACCGTCACGCAAGCTCAAACTACGTTCTACAGGCACTGACCACCTGAAACTAGCAAAACTGTACAACTATACAGGTACCGAGGAAAACTCTGTGTCGCACCTAAAACACTACTGGGCAGAGCACTGGTTTTCTACAGGTAGATTTCTCGGCTTGCCGTGTCATCCTTGCGCAGGGGCCATGCTAATCTTCTCTATCTCGTTTCTCCATCTTCGGAAAGCACACGGCAAACGAGAGTGCCTCAACTGCTGAAGCAGTGCGAGCTTCGCGAGAGCATGCTTTGATTCATGCATGCTTTCACTGAAGAAGTGTTGACACCGTTTGGGACATGACCTGGACTACAATGCTAAAGGCAGCTCCATGCACAAAAACCGTGCATGGGTCCCGCCTCGCCGTTCATTTAAACTTTTAAAACCTAAACGGGGTGTGGGACCCGGCCCTAGAAAAATGGGACCCGGGTGGACCCAGGTGGGACCCGGATGGGACCCGGTGGGACCCGGATTCGATCTGGCTAGCAAAGTATGGGACATGTGACAACCAGATGAAACTTCTTGTGTGGGAAACATGGGACCCGGTGACACCCGGATAAGACCCGGCGAGCAAAAAAACGGGATTCGGTGACGCAGAAGGTGGGACTTGGATGGGCCCGGTGGGACCCGGTTGGGACTCCTCGCAAAAAGCGGGACCTTGTGACCGCTCAGATGATGTGGCCTCAAAACCACACGTTGATGTGGCTTGAGAACCACACGTTAAGTGGCCTTGATGTGGCTTCAAAACCACACGTTTGTGGCTTATGTGGCTTCAAAGCCACACGTTTGTGGCCCGGATGTATTAAAGGGGTCACCAGAAGCCTCGGACCTGAACGAACACGTGGGCTGCCTTTCTTCTTTCTTTACTACAGAGAATTCTAAGCCGGAGCTGGCTCCAAGTCCACTTGCTGGAGCTAGAAAAAGGCTTCAACAAGCTTCGATGATCTTGCAAGCTATTGGCTATTGCTGACTCCATAGAGCCATAGATCTTGGCAATCCTAGACAGGAGCTTCGATGATCGTGTCGCAGCGATGCATCCTAATAAACGTCAAAGATCTCGATTGGCTTAAAAAGATCCTCGAGATACCTCGATGACATTGCAAACTGACACTGATCTCCAGTGGATATAGAAGCAGGATGAGCCCAAGAAATGATGCTGCGGACGACCCCGTTTCTGGGCCCACGAAACGAAAGCAATTCTGGCTTCGCCACAATGGGCCTCCCCAGTTGCAAATCCGCTGGTTGTGGCATTTAAGGTGAGCGTGCAGCTGCTTTGGACAAGACTTCTGGCTTTTCAATCTTGCGTCTGCATGATGCCCAAAACTGCGGGAACAAAGGCAGGCAGGCGCACGCCCGAGATCCAGCTGGTTGGCCCCGAACATTTGCGATTTGCGACCCCAAAAATGGGGCCGTTTTGCGGCCCCGAAAACAGGGCTGCGACATGCGCCCGGCCTCATTAAATATATAGTTTGAGCATGAGTTGGAGGCTTGGAACCCCGACCCCAAAAAATGGGGCCGCCCAACGGCCCCATTTTGGGGGGTCGCGAATTCTTCTACTTTGAGGCACGTCCGCCTGACTGCTACACAACAGGCGACTGTGGCACACAGGCGCCGTCCAGCTTGGCTTGGAAAAAAACAAGCTTTCAGGATTAAGGCTTCCAAGCCGAGCCTTGCTTTCTTATAGAAGTACATTAAATCAACACGAAAGAAACGGGCACAGTCAATTCAAAAGCCGCAGAGTCGTACCACTGCATTTAGAAAATTGCTTGTAAAGCCTTTCCGGCAAGTTCTTCTTCTTTTTTTCCCTTTCTTCCAGTGTTTAGCAAATGTTTCACAGCAGTTTTGCATTTCATAGGCTACGTTTCAAAAGCCGCGCGTTCCGTACCACTGCATTTGGAAAATTGTTTGTAAAGCCCTTTCCGGCACTGACCCCTCACCATTGACCTCACTCGCCTCACTCACCGCACTCAGACCTCACACTCACCTCATCCACCTCACCCACCTCACCCAACTCACCCGCCACCTCACCCACCTCACTCACTCAGTACTTCGCAGGCAAAGTTCAGCATCTTGCGGGTCAGAACACACATGCTCTTGCTCAAACTTCGCACAATAGTCGCGTTCAGTGCAAACAGAGGCTGAACACCTGAGAGCTTGCAGAAGCGCGAGATTCCCAGATCCGTGTTTCAACATGGGTCGAATAGAACTCTTGGTCAAGAATCCACGCACACTTGAAACCCCCAGAGTCACACTCTGCACACTGACAACTTTGCAAGCTGCTGGATAGTACACTGGGAGCTCTGCAAGCTGCTGGATAGTTGGATGCTTCCAACCTCTGCGCATTGTAATGATTGATCCCATACCAAGAAGGGTCAAGGAAGTGTTGGCGTTGATTGATCCCACCAATGAGGTTAAGGTTGTCTTTTCGACTCCCAAAGGTTTCCCACAAGATCTTGTGTACTATGATGTTAAGAAGAAGTATCTCCCTTCATCAGAGTATAACGTTCAGATCAATCATTTTAGAGACCTGCAAGATCTCATCCCTTCACCTGTGCCTACGAAGCGTGGTGCTCCATCAAATGAGGCATACCCTGTCTGGGTTACGATTCGGCAACGTGATGCTGAGAGTCACACTCAGGAGGGCTATGTGGATTCAGGTAATGCCACTTGGTTTATCTCATTAAGTGCTGCCGTTGGTTTCTTGCCGACCGACATCGTTTCAGACTGGCTTTATATGGGGTTTGCCAAGTTGCAAGATCAGGTCTTCTTCCGAAGAACCACACAGGACCGCACGCTGAGCCTTACGTTTGGGATTAAGCATCAACAGCTTGATGCTAACGTCGTGTTAAGTGCTCTTGAGCTGATCGAGGCTTACATTTTGCAGGCAAGTGTGGCATGTGACAGGGGAGTATCCCCCAACCTCAATGTCTATGTGTCGCAGCTGCCTTGTGATGTTCTCAGTCACCTCTCTACTTCTCTTCCAATGGATGCCTTTGAGCAGTTACAAGCGTTGGTTGTGTGTAACATTCCAGTTACTACACAGCCAGGTCCACACATTCATGCAATCATGCGACATGCATATCGGTGTAACATTTTTGCATGCGTGATCAGGCAGCATCTTGCTCTGAGAGTAACGCCTTCGTTACCAGGCATTCATTGACTCATTACGTCGTAATGCTATTGACTTACCTGAGAGCAAAATACGTGGGGCCCACAAGTTCATTCCGAGGAATCACTGTGCAGGGACCTATCTCACCACTCGTTCATATTTTGTAGAGTGTGTCTGCCCTTCGGTTATTAAAGAGATTCATCTACAAGTTAAGTCCTTACAAGGCACTCTCGACGCTGACCAAGGCCGATGTCTTGTTCAAAGCCTCGGCGCTACTCCCACATATGTGCGACACGCCTTTATCGATACCAAGGGAATCCAAGAAATTGCCCTTCATGTTGTAATTCCTGCTTCCGATGAGGCCGCTTTGTGGGCTGCTTATGATCAGACCAACCTTGGTATTCTGATTGAGTACTTTGTCAAAGACACTAGTGGGCTCCTTCCTTCAGCCTCAAGAAGAACCACTCTTGAGAAACCAGAGCAACATTGGAAACGTTATAGCAATACTCATGAAGTGCCTGCCACTAGGCTCACCTTTTTTACGCCCGAAAATCCTGGGGATAAAGTGGCAGTTGAGCGCTATGCCTATTCGGTGCGGTTCAAGGTTATGCACTGTGAATGTATTGCTACGCAGGAGCCAATTCCAATTCTGCACATTGGTCTTAAAAGTCCCGCAGGCAGGTGTCATGAGGCAATTGTTTCGCAAGCCCTGTTTGAATGCCCTCACACAATTGGGGACCCCAATTTTGGGGATTGTGAACCTTTAAAAGGCCTTATAGGAAGACGTTGCAGCCACTCCTTTTCCGATCAACCTCCAAATGAGGAACAATGCGGCTCCTGCTATGCAGTCTATGCACTTACCGGAAAAGGCAACGTTCGGTTGCCTCAGTTTGTCCTTCAAAAACAGTGGACCCAGGTGTCATTCGCAGGGGGCGTCATTTTGTCAAATTTCGGTGACGCTCTCATTCTCGCCCCATATAGGAGCGACTATGCGACTGTCTTTGGCGTTGATGACATGTTCACAATCTCTTTCCTCTTTACAGTCGCTGGTGCCTCGCAGCTACCGGGAGGACGTTCTATCCCTGCCTTTGACCAGGTCGCAAAGGAAAAACAGGGAAAGCTTTTGCTTCAATCTGCTGCTCCGCGTCATCATTTCTCTGCACCAGCCACAGCAACTGAGGCTGCAGCCGCTCGAGCTGAAATAATCTCGCGCAGCATAGGCAGCACCTTGGCTGCTCTAAAGGAGGATGGCAACCAGGAGATTGTGAATGGCCGCGCAGGAAAAGAAGGAATACAGCGGGACATCATCAAGGCTAAAGGAGAGGTCACAATGCTGCCACCCGCACAGACCCCCCTCAATTTCTTCGGCAGTCAGCCCGTTGATCCTGCTGCATCGCGCAACGCGCCCATGTCACACATTGCTGATCCCGGAGACGGACCTAGGGGTGCCAAAGGCAGCGATGGCCCCCAAACCGATGAAAGAGGAACTACAGGGATCATTGACAACGACGAGCGGCGGAATACTCCTGCTGGCTC